ACCCCATTACCCATTTTGTCTCCTATGATCACATTTCCCCCTCATACCGAGCCTTCCTATCTGCAGTTGATTGCATCATTGTTCCCAGAAACGTTGCAGAAGCCTTAAAATGCCCCGAATGGACAGATGCCATGAAGGAGGAGATTAATATTCTTCATAAAAATCAAACTTGGGAATTGGTGGATCTTCCAAAGGGGAAAGACCCTGTGGGGTGTAAATGAGTGTTTACGGTTAAACACAAGGCAAACGGAACAGTTGAAAGGTACAAAGCAAGATTAGTAGCCAAAGGGTACACACAAGTCTACGGGGTTGACCATGATGAGACTTTTGCTCCAGTAGCTAAGATGAACTCAATTAGGGTTCTCCTATCATTAGCTGCTAATCTTGATTGGGAATTGCATCAACTAGACATAAAGAATGCTTTTCTAAATGGTGACTTAGAGGAGGAAGTATACATGGTTCAACCCCCTAGATTCTGTACCAAGGGAAGTGAAAATAAGGTGTGCAAGCTGCGAAAGTCTCTTTATGGATTAAAACAATCTCCCAGAGCTTGGTTTAGTAAGTTTCACATGGCGGTTCAGCAGATGGGCTTCAAACAATGTCAGTCTGATCATACACTCTTTGTGAAGAGATGTCAGGAACAGGTTATTGTATTGATAGTGTATGTGGATGATATCATAATTACAGGAAGTTGGAGTTTAGAAATACAAAAATTGAAACAATTCCTTGCATCTAAATTTGAAGTGAAAGATCTAGGTCCCTTGAAATATTTCCTTGGGATTGAACTCGCCCACTCAGAAAAGGGTTTCTTTATCTCTCAAAGGAAATACACCCTTGATCTATTACAGAACACAAGCAAATTAGGTGCAAGGCCAACAAATACTCCCATAGATGTTGACCACAAGTTGGGTGACTGTGATGGTGAACCTCTGAAAGATGTGAAACAGTTCCAAAGGTTAGTGGGAAAGCTAATTTATTTGTCCATGACCCATCCAGACATTGCCTATTCAGTTGGGGTTCTAAGCCAATTCATGCACTCTCCTAAGAAACCACACATGGAAGCAGCAGAGAGAGTTCTTAGATACTTGAAAAAATATCCCGAAATAGGTCTACTACTCAGTAAACATAATCACCTAAAGGTTTCTTTACAGATGTTGATTGGGCAAGTGTTGTGGATGACAAAAAATCCACGAGTGGGTATTGCACATTTGTGGGAGGAAACCTAGTGACCTGGAAAAGCAAGAAACAAAGCATGGTAGCAAGGTCAAGCGTTGAAGTTGAATATAGAGCTATGGCACATGGGGTGGCTGAAGTCCTTTGGCTAAAGAAACTTCTAGGGGAGCTTGGAGTTGTTGTTCATAATCCTATGTCTCTTTACTGTGACAACAAGGCAGCAATAAACATCGCCTACAACCTTGTCCTACATGAGAGGACCAAGCACATTGAGGTGGACAAACACTTCATAAGGGAAAAATTGGAAAAAAGAGAAATTTGCATCCCTTATGTCAACTCCAAGGAACAACTTGCTGATGTCCTCACAAAAGGGTTTCCATACTCGTGACACAATGAATTATGTGACAAGCTGGGCATGATAGACATATTCAGCCCAACTTGAGGGGGAGTGTTGTAAGGCTTATTTAATTATTACTTTATAGTTGATGTTAGTAGGTTGTCCTCTTAAGATACTATCAATTAGTTATTTTTCCTTTTTTCTTATTAGTTTGTTTCTAGGGTGTGCTGCCAGGGGCATACTTGTAATTTCGTTTCTTTTTTATTAAGTTAATATAAATAGTGAACTGGCGGCAGCCAGAGATAGTTTTCTTTTTCTCTCAATCGCATCTCCCTTTCCTTCTCTTTCTCTCTCTCTCTCGTCTCCCACTCTCCATGACTGATTACAATCACAAAGCTAAGCTACCTGAGACCTGGACTTACAGGTGGTGCGAGAACCATAGGATGAGACGTGTTCGGCATTCCATATCTAAATCAGCAATTCTTTCGAAAAGAGCACGAACAGCACCAGCTACAACTGCTGGAAAAGCCCCTGGAAGAGCCTAATGTTTAAATGAAGTCAGAAGCTTAAAAATGTAAATCAATTGAATAAAAAAATAAACATGTCATTTTAAAGGATCATAGCCACAGAGATACATTGACACACAGACATCCAAGAGTCATTCTTATGAAAATGCTAGTTTCTCTGCACATTTCTAGAAATGTGCAGCTAACAACTTGTTGGTCTGTTAAGGTTAAAAAGGAACGAATTTTTTGCAACAAGATATCATTCACGTTACCTTACAGAGGTCAATAATAACCAATGTGTAGTATATGGGCTTGAATGGGGGTTGTGGTAGTAAAAGTAGCTGCAGAAAGGATCAAACCAAGAGCTGTTATTTCAGATCATACAAAACATGTCTCTAATATAACTATCCTATGAGCATACAATTAATGTTTAAGTTGAAAAGATTCCCTACAAACCATTAATCATAGTTTTCAAGATGCCAAGGTGAAGCTAGGTGACAGGGACTGCCTTGTTTTATACAAGGCACTTGGCCACTTGGGTGATGCAACCTTCCAAGGGCACCTTGTTGCCTTGGCATCACCTTGACAACTACAAGTCAAAACCAAGAAGCATCCAATAAAGAATATAAGTAAAATACATTTCAGCCCTACTACAGGGCATTTACAATTTATCCAACATTTTAGATTGGGGCAGCATTAAAAAAAAAAAAAAAAAAAACATAAAAATGTTACTGGGCAATACTAAATACCATGCCTCAGAACATGTTAATGTCCATGAGATTTTACCTGGGAGAAAATTGTCTCTGCCATCAGATACTCATACCGGAATGAAACAGGAAGGCCAACCATACATGATGCACATTCTTTGCGACTAGCTTTCCATGAAACAAGAAATAGAAATAAGACATCCAACATCATATAAAACATAAAGACTGAAAGACAATAATAGGTGGTGCAGGGGCTACTGTTTAAGCAAATTAATAAGATAAAGCATAGAAAAGACAAATACTTCTGAAAAACATTTAAACTTTGAAAGAGAAACCAATCAGACTCTGCAGTTAAATTAATTCAAGGTTATACAAAAACATCTATGCATGCCTATAAAGCACAAGAATTCTGACCGAACACTTCTAATAAAAAAGACTGACATCAATAAAATGTACAATACCAAATACCTTCTCATCCTATATAGTTTGTGAGAAACTCATTCTAGAAAAATTGTCATATACAAGGAAGAACAACAAAAAGAGGGATAGTGACTCGAGAAAATGGAATTTGCCATCTAAAGACGGTGTGACTTGAGGAAACATGTAAATGGCCCAGAGTCCAGACCACCACAGAACTCATGTATTAAATGATTAAATCAAGTAGAAGTAGGATCCAGGACTTTAATGTTTAAATAGAAAACTCAACTCTACAAAAAATGGAACATACAGAAGGTTTCATTGCCAGCTGTGGTGCATATTTTGGCCCCTGCTCCCTCTAGAAAAAGATTTGAAATTAATGATCAAGTGATCAATATAGCGCATTATATAAAATAGACTCCAGAAAGGCAGGGATCAATGTCCAGCCTCAGAGAAGCAAAAACAAAAAGGACGAAAGAAAGAAAGAAAGAAGAAAGAAAGCACTTAGAACATGAAGCAAGTACAGCACATAGCAGCTTCCACAGGATAGAAGCATGGCAACACAGCTGTACTCCCAACTGTACTACTACCTAGACATCTAAAGACCAAGAATGGCAAGTAAAAGATATGCCCACCCTGGATACCAGGTCCTAATCATCCATATTGAAAACTTTCAATCTCCAAGGCCCAACTAAATCATTTCAATCAAACTGAGTGCACCAACAGGAGCCCCTGCAGTAATGTCATCAACTAATCATCACCACCATGAAAAGTCCCTCATCGATTAATTTTGAGTAGCTGACAGGAGAAGATAAACCTAAACCACTCCCCTTTGGTCTTCCACTCAAATAAATGGTAAGCAAAGATTATCCATCAAAATTAAGCTCATCAACACTGTCAAAAGACACAATACACAGAAATGAAAGGGGTGGGGCTTTAGTGATATTCAATATGACAATAAGGGGAAGATGTAGCTACCATCTTACACCCTCTCATCACATGGACAAACAAGAATAGTAAAAACATATCCCTCGTCAGAATACAATGCACCAATGGACAATAAACAAGTTTTCATGACCTTTAGGGATTGGATCTAATGGAGAAAATATTGTTATTCCTCTCTTCCCAGATGATCCTGTACTGATCTCTTGTTATCTTTCCATTAAGATAATTTTCTATCCATAACTAAAAAAACATCAATAGACTCTAAGATAACATGGTAAACTAGAAAGCTAGTGACAAAATTAAAAAGCCAAGTATGTTTACTAACCAGCCATTGAGAAAGAGAAGAACATCTAGTAAATACTCTTCCACAACAAAGCGATCTATGGGCTGTAGATCCTGCCATCAACAAGAAAAAGATAAATTGCGCATGAAGGAAAAGATGCAAAGACCACGATAACATTCAAATGAAAAAAAAAACACTACCTGAAAATCTTCCATTCTCATACATCTTTTTAACATATCTACACAAAGAATTGGTTCTGTGATATACCTGTGATAGACTCCAAAGAAAGTGTAATAATTGGACTCTTTCTCCCCATGTCCGTGTTCTATGCTGGAAAGATGGCAAAAGTGCCAACCATCTTTTTGTGTCGTGCTCTTATGCATCTCAGATTTGGCAACATTTTTTCACTTTGGTGGGTAAAGTGTGGATAGCAACCTCAGATGTGGTGGACTCATTTAAACCACAGGTTATGAGATATTTCTACACCAAGACAGAAAATCTTGTGGCAGTGAGTGAGAGGGGCAATGTTGTGGGGTTCATGGAGTGAAAGAGATAGCAGAATCTTTGAAGAAAATCACAAAGAAGTGGAGGAGCTGATGGATCTTACAACTGTTAGGGTTGGATACTGGGCTCATGTTAACAAAGAGTTCAGTGGAGTAAGCCTTGATGACTTATTAAGAGAGTGGAACATTGTTGCAGGTTTTAGTAATAGAATGCCACTAAGAGAGATTCTGTTGGCAATGTAATTTTTCAGCTATTCAGGGCCAGCTGGGTTTGGAAACTCTCCAAGGGCAGAGTTGTGGGCTTTACTTCAAGGCCTTTAACTCATACTTGAGCATGGGTTATTGAATATAGCAGTTGAGAGACACTGTCAAACAGTTATTTTTGGATGGAATCTCAGGAATTAAGACCTTGGCAATATAGATGGTGAGATTGGCTCATTCCTTAGGTGCCAACTTGAACATCTCATTCATCTGGGTACCCAGGAGTGCAAATAGGCTAGCTGACTCCCAGGCGAGATTGAGGGTAGGAAAAGATAGTTTGGAGTGGGGGTGCCCAGGGCCGGGCTGTAATTTGTGTTAAGGATATGTTGTAAGTTTTTCGCTTGTGCTAAGGATATGTTATAAGTAGTCCACCTGCTTCAGTTCAGCAATGTGGGTTCTTTTTTAATGAAATTCTCCTTGATGCTCAATTATTTTCTCACAAAGTTTCACAAATATAGGGACCATATAGGGACCATATTGTTCTTAAATATAGGGACCATATTGTTCTTTCTCCACCCATCAGGTATCCTTTTTTCTTTCATTATATTTTTTTGGTAGAATTCTATCATTATCTTATTATATTGCTTAGCTAAAACAAGCCTACCATTGGGTCCTTATACTCTTCCCTTCATCTTATTTAGTGCCTCTTTTACTTCATTACTTCTGATTTTACAAAGGCACATGTTATTTTTAACACTATCAATATTACTAATATTTCATCCACAAGTGCCCTCTACATGTTCATTTAATGATTTATCAAAATAATTTTTCCAAATTTCTTTGATTTGTTCATCTATTACAAAGGCTCTTTGATATCCCTCTTTAGTGCCTAATTTACAATAGAGCTCATCATATGACAAATTCAATTTCGCTTTGTTGAACTCAAGGCATATGACAAGCCCTATCAGCATATTTTGAGGGAAATTGTAACACAATATTAGTAGATTTTCCAAGAATAAAAATTGAATTGGGACATACTAGAAAGTGCTAACCAATTTACTGGTAAGGTTTCTGGGGAAGTAGTGGAGATTTAGTATTAATTTCAGCCTTCACTTGGGTATAGGGGAGGGCTACCTCCAATGTGTAGCATATTTTAAAAAATGAGGGTATACTTGTTCTGTATTAAAGTAATGTTGTGATCAAGCTAAAAGATGCTACCTTGCAAATATGGGAAAATCTATATTCCATGCTGCCGAAAATCTATATTCTATGCTGCCAAAAAGACATGATACTGGAAGGGCTTTGACCAATCAAAACCCCTCTTGAATTTTGATAAATACCACCTAATTAGCTGCCACTTTTATGGCACCAATTCATTGGTTACGAGTTTCTCCAGTATCATAGTCAAACTCTACAAATATATATATATATAAAGTGCTACCACATACTGATACATGATATAAGTCACAGTATGACAAAATAATAAAACCTCAATTAATTACATAGGAAGCACTTATATACAGAGCCCATCTATTCCCCTTCCCATTTGAAACTCACATGCATATCCAGACAGGTAAAATTCATGTCAAATGCTTAATAGTGATCTTCTAAAATTCTGTTTTCACAAACTTGCCAAAAAAATTAATAAATAGAAAAAACCTAAAAATATATAGAAAACTGATTTCACTTGACTTTTAATCCATTTCTACTATATACTTGACTAAAAAATAGAGATTACCACTGGCACACTAGAAGCCAAAGACAGCAATAATTTAATCGAGTTGGACTTGAAAGTTAAATAATACACATAAAATGGTTCTTAAGGTTGTGTTTGGTAAGAGTGGAAACACAGAACCAAGGCGAATTTGTACTCTCGTTCAGTTTTGCAGGTCTTTGGTAAAAATACGTCTTTGTATTGAAAATGAGAAAGAAAATTAGTTTTTTCTTCTGCTTTTTGCATTCAAAATGAAACCTGAAGTTTGCATCCAAAAAATAGAAGCAAACTTTGCGGTCGAAGTTACTCAATGTAAAATAGGCAGATTCCAGTCCTGAAATTTGTGTGTACCCACCAAAATAAAAGCAAACTTTGCCTTGTTTTTTTTTCCTTCCATACTTGTATAATTTTTTATAATATCAATACAATTTTACCTTACCTTCTAAAAAAATTATCAATGCAAAACTGAACCAAGGGCTGTTTAGGCAACAATGGTGAGTCAGATATGGGACGGGTGGTATGGGACAAATGAGGCAGCATTATGTTGGGCTTCTCAGGGAATGTTGGCATTGGCAACTCTTTGAGTGTATAGATGTTGGCTTTAATCTAAGGGAGTAAGGTCTCGGGCTGATGATACAACAAAATTGGAGAAATGCGCAAATTGAAAAAAAAAAAAAACTGTCAAGTCATACTTTCTTGGGAGAAGTACCAATCAGCCCAGATCAGAATTTTCTAGGCCCAAAGTTCAGAGGGGATGCATCCTGACCGTGAATTGATGCCAAATTTGTTAGAATGTTAGAGTGATGTTCGGCTGATAAGAGTTCTTATTAGCCCAGTCTTATGTYTAACTTATCTTGTAACTRGGCCTGTGTYAATGGGCCTAATCCTGTTTAATGATTTAAGTCATCTGGGTGTCCCATCACTAATCAGGGGCATCCCAGTAATTTCTTGTACCTTGTACTATATTCATCTATAAATAAAAGAC